AGTTTGCTCGCTCTATCCCGAACTATTTTTAGGTTGAAATTCAACAATGAAATGTGCCACTATCTGGCCCTTAATCACTTTTCTTGGCTCGAACACAATGTCGAACTCCCTGAGCTCGACTGCCCACTTGGCAATATGTCCAGATAGATTGGATTTTTGAAAAAGGGACTTCAACGGCTGGTCAGTAAGCACAAATGATTTGATGAGCCTGGAAGTAATGTCTAAGCTTCCTAGTCGAGCTAACCAATGCAAGTGCGAGCTTCTCCACTAGAGTATACCTCAACTCTGCATCTAAGAGTATCTTGTTCACATAATAAATAGGCCTTAATTTTTCACAATCATTCCTCATCAGTATCCCACTCACAGCGTGTTCCGATACAGTTAGATAGAGGAATAAGCTTTCCTCAGGGGATGGTGTTGTGAGAATTGGTGGGGAGGCCAAATATGCTTTCAAATTCAAGAATACCCCATCACATTCCTGATCCTAGAGTACTCCCTTATTTCTTTTGATAGATTGGAAAAAGGGTTTGCACTTATCAGAGGCTCAGGATACAAACCTCTGGAGTGTGGTAGCCATTCCAATTAATCTTTGCACCTCTTTTACAGTTCGAGGTGACTTCAGTTCGGCAATTGCTTTTTCTTGATCAAGATTGACCTCAACTCTTCGGTGGGTAACCATGAAACCGAGGAATTTACCAGACCCTACACCAACTGCACACTTGGAGGTATTCAACTTTATTTTATGTCTTCAGAGTATGTCGAATGTTATTCTTAAATCAGCATAGTGACTAGTGGCTTTTCGAATTTTAACCACCATATCATCTATGTAGACTTCTATGGTGTTGCCCAACAAGTGAGAAAACATTTTTGTTACTAACCTATGGTAGGTTGCTCTGGCATTCTTTAACCCGAAAGATATTACTTTATAATAGTATGTCTTTTCGTGTGTTATGAACGCTACGTTTTCTTGGTATTCTTCAGCAAGTGAGATTTGGTGATATCCTCTGTATGCATCCAAAAAGCTCATTCGCTCGTGCCCCACCGTCGCATTAATGAGCTGGTCTATCTTTGGTAAAGGAAAGCTGTCTTTTGGACATGCTTTATTGAGGTCGGTGAAGTCCACACAGACCCTCCATTTACCGTTCTTCTTCTTGACTACAAAACTGTGCAACAGCCAGGTCAGGTATTGAACCTCCCTGATGGTTTAAGACTCTAAAAAGCGTGCAACCTCTTCCTTTACTACTTCCTGATTTTGGGATACCGATCTCCTAAGCTTTTGTTTGACTAGCTTGAAGCTAGGGTCCATATTCAATCGATGACATGCCACTTCGGACGGTACGCCAGGCATTTCATTCGTGCTCTAAGTGAAGACGTCGGCATATTCTCTGAATAGGGTGATGAGTTCATTTTTCTGTTCGGGACTGAGAGACTCTCCCAACAAAAAATACTTGTCCTGATCTCCGTCTTTGTCTAAAGGTACTTTAGATAAGTCTTCCACTGTTCGATTGATAACTTCTTTCTCTATGCCTAAAGGTACTTTAAGATTTTTTATGACAGTTTGGTACGTGGAATAAGCCGAGCTGTCAAGGGTTAGTTGCTATTTTTGACTCCTCGGCTGCTGATCTTTTCTCTTGAACCTCTACTTTGTCTCTGGCTTTGACCGAGGCTAATAAACAAGTCCGTGAACTTACTTGGTTTCCTCTAATGTTCACTATTCCTTCAGATGATGAGAATCTCAAGATCTGGTGGTACGTTGATGGTACCGCCTTCATCTCATGCAGCCAAGATCGCCTTATACTTGCATTATAGGCCGAGACTGTATCCACTACTAGAAATTTGGCCATGAATCCGACTGGTCCAATCTTTATTGGAAGTGTGATCCTACCCCTGAGAAGAACTATTTTTCCACTAAAGCGATTAGTGGAGTATTAGAGAGTTTAAGATCTTCCTGTTTGAGTTTTAGCTTCTCAAATAAGTCCATATACATGATTTCCAAAACTCCCTGGATCAATTAGTACCCTTTTCACATCGTAATTTGCAATTTGAATCGTTACCACCAACGTGTCATTATGCGGCTGATTTACCTTGACCAAATCCTGCTCGGTGAAGCAAATGGTGTCAGTTGATTCTTCCACCTTAATCCTTGTACTTCTAACTTCTAGGGTCAGTGGTACTTGATAAACTTCTCTTTCCTTCACGACTCTCTGAATATATGCCCTAGCAGCATTATTCGTTGCCATTTGTGGATTCATTACAGCATGAATCACATCTATTACACCTGCAGCTGTGGTCTAGTCTACTAGTGGGTCGGTTCTTCCTCCCTCGGCTCTAGCACCACTCTCAATGAATTCAACAAGATGTCCAGCCTGGACCAGCTCCTCCAAGTGTTGCTTCAAAGATCGGTAATTTTTGGTCATGTGTCCTACATCTCGATGATATAATCACCTGAAATTATGATTCCTTTTTGGAGGATCTCCTGTTAACTTGTTAGGCCATTTGAAAAATGGCTTCCTCTTGATCTGAGTTAATATCTTATATATCGGGTCTTTGAATACTGTTTTTACCCCAATAAATGGGGACTTGAGGGGAAATCCTTCCTTCTCTTTCTTCCCTCCTCCCTTTTTGCTCAATTCGGTTTGTTTATCATGGCCGAAATGCCTTCTGCTTTGATGATCCTTCCCCATGTCTCTGGATAAAGTCATCATCAACTTTTGCATATTTCTTGATTCTCGCAATCAACTCTTCTAGGTCTGTGGCCGACCTCCTAGTAAGAGATTGGTATGGCGGGTTCTCCTTTGTTAACCCGATTTTGAAGGATGCAACTACAATCTTGCACTTTATTCATTGTCTCCCAGTAACGATAAGCATACTCTCGCAAAGTCTCATTACTTCACTTTTTCAGTGTCAATAGAGTCCCGACATTCTTGGGCTGTTTACTGCTTGTAATGAACTGATCTATGAATTGCTCGACTAATTGTGACCATCCATCTATCGTCCATTTTTGCAAGCTATCGAACCACTTCATGGCCGATTCCCCAAGGCTACTGAGAAAGACGGTGCAGAGCAGGGACTCATTTCTTCAATGTATGGTCATCAACAACCTGTAATGTCTAATGTGTGAGGATGGATCGGTCTTTCCATCATACAACTTGAACTTTGGGATTGTGAATTTGCTCGAGATTCACCCCCTTTCGATCCACTGTATGAATGACGAGGATTCTGAATTGTCTCCATATTCTCCTGTTGCTCTTCTGGCCAAGTCCCTAGTCAATTTCTGCTCGGGTCTCTTTAGACAGTTGTTAAGTTATTCAGTGATGAACTGCTTCTAGGAGTCTTCCTCCAGGACCCAGGCCTTTTTTGTTTGTATTTATCATCATCAACATTTTTGGTTCTGTCAGGTTTCCTTTCGGGACTTTCTCGTCAGCTTTCCCTTTCACGTTTCTCTTTCTTGGTCATCTTCTTCAGCCTGGATTTCAATTCGTCGTTCTATTTTATTAGATCCTTTTCCCTGGCATAGGATTTTTTGAATAATTTGTCATGCGCATCGAGTCGGTCCTGCAGGGATTGGACCAACTTTGTCAAAGAATGGTTCTCCCCCTCTACACGGAGGGATTCACCATAATCTTCGCCTTACTGGTTCTGGTTTTTGGATGATTTGAAACTTGCTGAGGATATCTCGTCATCCTCACAGGGTCTAGCCTAGCTTTTGGCCATAGGTAATCTAACGTCGCTATTAGATGAAAGCGACACTCTGCAATCCGGATCAAAATTTCCCACGCAAAACTGCCTACAGGTGATTCAAAGGTGATTCGACATGGTGGCTATTCGTTTCTATTGATAAAAATCTTCCCACATACGGCGCCAAAAAATATAAGAGGCAAAAAAATGAAATTACATCCTATTGGAATAAGATTTGGTATTTTTAGATAAAGAATGACTTCTGAACTTGATCTCCCAGTCTTTTCTTCTTTCAAAACGAGCAAACTGTCCAAGATTGAAGTGCTTTGATTAAAGATACTTCAATGCTTAAATCAATAATGGAATTGATTGAATTACAAATGGATAAGGAGAGTTCAGCGTACCTTTCACCTTAGCTCCTTGTACTTTTTATAGATCCCTGTTCAGTTAGGGTTTTCATGATTTTCGATTCAAGGTGACACATCTTTCTTCAATTAGGCAACTCTATTTGAGAAGTTACTGAAATCTCTCTAGCAATTCCCTTGGCCTAGCCTATAATTAAGCTCATTAACTTATCCTGGAAGCCTGAGTTATAGGCAAATTTTTTGCTCTTCGTTTGACTGTTTGAAACAGCTTGGCTACAATGAGGATTGACCTAATCCCTTCTCACCGAACTCATCAAACAGATCGGCTTTGGTCTATTGAACGAGTGACTGATATCTTTATCATGTGCCTTATCTTGTCATTCTCACGTGAGCTTACTTAATGCCATGACACGTGTAGTAAAGGGAGCCACCCCCTTCACTTCCCAATTTCTCTATCATTACCAATCCTCTCTCTCTCCCTCCCTCCCTCGTTGCATATTAACTCGGTGAAGAACAAACAACCATGTGCGCCCTCTCTTCAGTTTCCCCCTCTCTCTCTCCTGTTCGTATTCACGACTCAGTGAAAGAACATAAAGTCGTCTGCCTCTCTTCACCTTCTTATCTCCCTCTCTCTCTCTCTCTAACACAACAAGCTTCATTACCACAATTGGGTGCTTATATTTCTGGATATGATTTATAATAATTTTATATAACCTGCATAACTCGATGATTCATTACCCTTTTTTCCAGATTGATGACAATTGAGCTTGATGGCAAGCCCATCAAACTACAATTATGGGATCTATCGGACGAACGATTCTGGACAATCACAACGAGTAATTCACTTACTGACTAATTATATATTACTTTATGTTTATTTCTTTCATCTATTGATTAAAACAAAAAAAATTTTGTATTGTGACCAAGATGCATGTCTCAAACTGTTATGTTGCTTACTTGCTCAATTGGCTTGACGATGCCAGCAGACTGCGCCGAGTGGATAGATTCCTTGGCAATGCGTGGAGGAAGGTGCTCTTCACCAAAGGGTCTGTCCATTGGGCTTCCTATGATCTATTATAATTTACACCCTATGAGTGATATTTGATAGGTTGTCAGGCTCAAGAATCCTTAATAGTTAGAGTAACTTTTTTCTTAGGACGGTTGGTAGACACTTTTGAAACTACCTAGAAGAAAATGATGACACATCATCAATTGTGATGTGTAAGATCCCTAAGGAAAGAATTTGATGAAGCCGAGCAACTCTTTCAACTGGCTTGAAGTGAGAAGTTTCAATTGTTTGCAACAAAGGTGCCTTTTTTTTAATCCTCAATTACTATATTTGGTGTTTCAAATATTATAATTGAAGATGCTTTAGTATTGCAAGTGGTATTTTTGTTTCTTTGTCAAAGTAAAACCAAATTTTAAGCTGAATTTTGATATATTATGGGTTTTACCTTTTTTCATTGCAGGTGAAGTTGGGAGACTTTTGGAGTGCAAAATGGTCGTAGGGTTAGTGAGAGGCTAGAGTTAGAAGGTTTATGGGGGTGATTTCCAAATGGCCATTAGTGTGGACAACATGGAAAAGCATTGACGGAATGGTGGTCATTTGATTAGGTGGAGAATCTGGACATTGTATGTAATGCCATATAAACAATTGAGAATAAAGGCAACATGTTACTCATCGATCACAATAGTGATAACATATTACTATTTAGCATAAAAACATGAAGTAATGATGGTATTTGTACAAATAATCTATGAAAGTTAATTTTAAATTTTATGCATTATGTGAGTTGTTTGTTAGAATTTATGTCATTTTTTGCTTCTTTTCGTAGGAAAACCGAAACAACACCTACTTGCCAGTGGTTGCATATGTTTGTTGGCGCAATAAAATAAGGGATTTTATTTTATGTATTTGATTTTAAAATTCAGATCCTTGGTATATTATCATGTCTTCTAAAATGATGAATAGTAAAAACCCACCTCAAATACTTTCTTTGCTATATAAATATACGATCAAATATCACAAAAAATGAGAATAAAGTAAAAACAATATAAATCAAAACAGTTCACGTACAACGTATGTCTGCATGAACTAATATATATATATAAGTTGGACATACTATATACTAAAGAAAATAATGGTAAAAACAATATAATTTTAAGGATGCAGATTGTTTGATGTTTAGAAGTGAGTGGTTCATTATCTGTAGCCACTATATAAGATTTTTTACCTTTCTATCCTAAATTCAATGATCATTCTCTAACCTTTTTCACGTTGCTTTTCTATTACTTTTTCCCATTTTCTATCGGCTTTGTATTTCTCTTCCGAACGCTTTTTCAATCTTCAATCACTCTTTTCTTGATTTTTAGATCTAATCTTTGTAGGTCTTATTAAAAGTAGGTTTGTCTTAGTTAATGGTAGGCACAACATATAGAGAACTTTGTTAAGACATGTAGGATAAATGTAACTGCATCAAGGACAAAATACAAATGCAATTTATTTGACACTGTTAGACAACAATTTTAAGAATCTGAAGGTTACTCTATGTCATCCAAGGATTGAAAGCGCGGTTATATGCTACGTTCTTATGATCACATTCCTCAAGCTTATCTCAAATCATTATTTTGAATTATTGTGGTTTGGTTTTACTCATTGAATGGAGTGTAAGTGAAATTTTGTAGCATGGGGAAGAACATGCCCAAATAATTGATGGATAGTAATAGCGGATAGAATCAAGTATATTGACCAACATACCCTAAAAAATCCTTGTGACAAGAATGCTAATTGAACATTGTAAGGCATGGAACAAAATCCTGATATAAATATTTTACTCGTGAAAATGAAGATTGATGTTGAGTTACTATATTTTTTATTGTTGTAGATTTCTATTAATTTTGTCTTTTGATTGCATGTTTCTTATTGAAAAAAGATGGACATTCTAACTTGGGATCTATAAGAAACTTACTTTTAGTTTTATCCAATAAATGTCATTTTGTTTAAAATCTTAAATTAAGCATGATTTACCAATTTATCAGCAATGACAGACTTGTGCTAATTGTTTTGACTGCAGTGGGTCTTCTAATGCCAAAAGTAAGGAGTTGTTTTAGGATCAATTAGGAGTATTGATACTTCTACCACTCTTATCTTACCTTTTAGATTTTTTAATTGGAGTAAGTGATGTGTTCGAATTTCAAATATTTATGCAATTATTTGTAACTTAGTAACATTGTACATCATTTATGTTTGTTCCAATGTTTTGTTAAACATTGTTGAGGTTTACCAAAGAATGTGTTTTGAACCACAACGGAGTATTTTATTATTGGTATTTAGATGGTATCATTAAATGAAAGGGGGTAATGCCACACACACCATAAAAAATTGATAAATATTTTTTCTTTCTTTATATGAATTACTCCCAAGTATATTATCAATTGTTCAATAACTAGAGTAACATGATTGTTTTTTTTTATCTCCATTAACATTTTTTTTTGCCCATATGATAGATAAATTTTTAAATAAAAAAAATTCCTATAATTTTTATTTCAGTTTCTAATTTAAGTGATACAGACAAAGAAGCAATTAGACATAGCAATAAAGTGATACTACTACTATCTAATTTATTTATTTGTTTATATTTGAATTTTATTTTGTGCATTAAGTTAAGCAATGTACATATGTTCTGTTTCATTAGTTTATGATGTATTTAATTGAATGATATATTCCTTAATTAATTCAAACTTGTGAAGGACATAATCTGTGAGACTATTATGTTGTAATCTCAATCTTTAAACTAACATTACCAGTATAACTCTAAGTTAAGATTGTTCATGTGCACAAATTAGCTATTGTAAAATGGACTTGTATTTTATTACTTAGGGATCCTAATTATTTATATCATGACAAAATAACCTCTTCAATTTTGTGGAAAATTATAAAATAATTTTATTATGTCCAAAATTTATTTGAATGTGTCTATAAGGCATGTGTATGAAACGTGAGAAAACAATATAGGGTGAGTATGATCAAATATACTTAAAAATATCCAAAAAAGGTATATAAGTAATTTTAAGAAAATATTTGAGGTGAGCAGTCCAATCTCTCTCCCCCCCCCCCCCCCCCCCCCTTTTTTTTTCTCTTTAAACACACAATTTTAGATTTGGAAATAACAAAAACTGTGTTTTTCCAATTATCAAATAAGGAAATCCTGGCGGTAACAAATGTTCGATAAATAAAACGTAATTTTATCAACTTTTTTTTTTTTGTAGGAAAAAGTTGTTATTACCTGTGTTATAACCAATTTTAGGAAATCAAAAGCCTGATGGCATTACTATTTTGTAGGAGTAACCTATAATAAGCATCTTAGAACATAGATGATGCACTGACAAATGTGGGTATGCGTGCAACTATATATGCAATTAAACAAGACAAAAAAAATTACGAAATAAAAACATTTAGAAAACATTTAAAAAAAATTAATGAAAACACATTGTCAAACCGCACATACGCAAAAAACACGACAACAACTGCATCATCAGTTGAAACAAGAAAAAGAATCAATAATAGTTTGTAGATTAAATATATTTTTTTTATTATATATCCACTCAACTAGAATAAATTTAAGAGGAATTTACTATTTATTAATAATAACTTTAGTGGGCTCCCCACTTATGCACGATAAGTAGACCGATAAGTTAAAGTGTAACGAAGAGAATTCAAATTTATAATTTGCATTGTGAGATAGGAATTTACTTGTGAGCCATCGGGTCCCTTCCTCCATATTGGAGTGTTCACCACGCCGCATCTTTTACAGCTCCTCTTAAGAACACTAGAATTGTTCTCAATTTTCTCTTGAGATCCTAAGCGTTGCTGGCTGGAAAAATCACCGAAATTGGTACCTGCCTTACTCATTTCTCCAGTTTGTACTGCCATATTCTCCGTAACCTATTCAAGTAGAGAGGGCAAGCCAAGACAGTTAACCAAAATTCGCGCATGAATGAAAATTTATTTGGTTTAGAGGTATAATATTGTGATATTCGGATCTTCTCTAACACATTTTTTCTTAAACTTTTTTCAATGTTACATCATTGACCATGAATTGGTAATAGGCCTAATGGAACTTAGTGGATTCCACTTGTGAATAGCTTGTCTTTGACCGGACCATAAAGTGAATTAGTCAAGGTGCGTATAAACTAATTCATACATCCTTGATCGTTTAATTAAAAAAAGGACGATCATTTTCAATGCATCTTCTCTTATATTGTTCAACGCTACATCTCTGACCATATATTTAGGATAAGCCCATGTAAGTATGATGGATCACACTTAGATTAATAGAGGCTAATTAGTGGAGTAAGATTCCCTTTAATATATTTTTCTCCTTTATCTGTCATTCTTTCTTGGTGCATGACCCATCTTGGAATCCATTGGAAATAAGTGGGGCTCCCATCATTAATGATTGATGATCCGTCTGGGAAAAAGATATAAATTTGTGAATTAATATTAAAAAAAATTTTAAAAAAATCCTAGTTGCATAAAATCCCAACATTAATAATATTTGAAAACCAACATTAGTAATGTCTGGATCCAATACTGTTTTGTTCGACTCTTGAATTGACCCCTATTGCTTATTTATTATGGCGGATTAACCAATTTGTGTTCATTGGTATGACATTAATGATTGTGATTGCAATTTTTCACTTTCACCGAGCTCAAAACAGGTGAATACAAAATATCTCAATATATTTTTATTCCGAGCAATGAGTTTTCGAATTCTCATTTGACCCTTCCTTATCCTAAAATTCAGATTTTATGTGAAGTACTTGACCAATTATACTACAAGACTAAGAGAAAATACGACTACGAGAGAGGCTAGGACTGCTTTCCTTCCACTGCATCTTCGAGATTCAGATTGATGAGGGACGTAGAAATGACCCTTAATTGCTGGAGAGACTGAAATAACTTTCTTTGGAGCCTCTGAGAGTTGGGATATTCAATCCCATGATACTCAGAGAACAGGACGTTGTATCCCAAGTGTTCGATTAAATACATCGTGAAGTGATTTTAAGTTTTGAGTTATACAAAAAATGGAAAGGGGAAACCACAACCTCTTTATTTGTTGCTAAAAATAGATTCTAGAAAAGGTTTTTAAGACTAGCAATGCACGACGTATGTTACACGTAAAAACTTTTGTTAAAATATTTGATGAAATACATAGAAATAAATTAATTATGTAGCTAAATTATATATTATTTCATATTTATTATACTTAAATTATTTTTATTCTCTTTATAACTATAAACATATGAGTTCATTTGAATTACCAAGTAGTAAGATTTATAGATTTTTGTTTTCTAGAATTTTTTTTTTTTGTCTTTCTTGTTTTTACTTTATGCATCAATAATTGTTTGTCAAATTATTTTGATTGTGAATGAAGAGATAAGATAAATATATCCGCTTTTAGACATTGAAGATGATATTATATCAATGAAGGTGTCAACTTATATTAGTATTAGATTTTTGGGAAAAAAGAATAATATTGTTTTTATATATCATGTTAAACATAATATAACGATTCAAAAATTTTGCAAGGATAGAGAGATTTGTATAATATATTAAAAATTAGTTTGTTATTTAAATACAAAAAGATATAATTGTAATTTATATAAATGATATATTAGCCTTTATAGTTTTTTATAAGGGTAAAATAGTAAAACAAATTTTTTTTATGTTAAAGTATTTTTATTAGTAGTATAGATATAGATATAAATAAATGAAAAATCTATGTATTGCCTATTACAGTTTTCATAGGGAATGTACTCTTCAATATTCAATCTTTTAATGATGATTCAAGCGGCATAGCATCGGAAAATTTATTAAATTACCTTATATTTTATGCCACCTACACCGCATTCTTCAGTTGTTTGTATGCTAACTCTTCTCCGAGCAATTAACTTGTCACACTCATCTTTGCAGTGCGTTGGCCGGCAATTATTTCACCAATGTCCAAGAACAATCTCATAAACGATACTTTCTAAGTTGGGTCATGGACATTTTTCTTACTGTTGAATAAAAACATGAATATTTCCAGGTTATTCAAATAATCCAAAAGAATGCCAGAGAGTTTGATGATGATGATGATAAATGTAACAATATCATCAATGACTATGAGTATGATGGGACCAAGAATCCCTCCAATAATTTTTTTTTCTACTAGATTACCTACCATATATTAATGAGGGACCTAATTTTTTAAATAGGATTCAATTAAGTTGATAATAAATAATTTACCAAAAAAGAAAATGAAAAAAATAAATTAATGAATATCTCACTTCTATAATGACAATAATGATTTGTCAAATAATTAAAAAAAATACAGAGAAAATAATGACGATGATGAAAAATAAATGTAACGATGCCATTAATGATGATGGGTTTGGTTATGATCTAAATGATAACAACAGTAATTGGTAATGAAGACATTAATATGGGATTTGAATAATGGAATCCTAATGTTAGTCAAGTCCAAGTTAGTTTCACTAATATGTCTCTGGTCAAAATACTTTAGGCGGAAATTATGTTTTGAATAGTCAATTTTGTTCATCGAATTATCTGTGAAAATTTATCAATTAATAAGAAAGACGAATTTAACTTCAAGGGGGGGTTATCTTCAAACAAACATGATCTCTTTCAAAAAAAAAAAACAAACAAGTTCGTTAAAAATGCGCATAAACTTTGTAAGAGTTCAACCTATTTCAAAAAAAATGTTTACCAACAAAACAAGAATTATTAATATACATCATTTTAATTTAGGGAGAATTACATTCAAATCTCGGAGGTTTATCACTTAATCACTTAGACCCCTGACATTTAAAATATTATATATAGACCCTTTGAAATTTATACATTCGTAACACTTTGACCCCTACCACCAAATGTCCGTTAGTATAACCATTAGTAAATTCCACTCAGATCTCTTCAAGTTTGTAGGTGTATAATATTTAGATCTCTCAAGTTTAAAATTTTATAATTAGTCCAAAAATACTCTAATCAAAGATAAAATATCAAATATTTTAAATTTTATATTCAAAATTCATTGTATCATTTATTGAAATAAAATTAAAAATAAAATCAAATAAGGGATTAAATTGTAATAGCCACAATATATTTTAGCTTTAACTAGGGTAATTTGCTAGTTTAAACGACTAAATTAAATTTTAATATATAATTATATTTTTTAAGAAAAAAATAGATTTTAATTTTTAATTTTATTTCAATAAATGTCATAATAGAATTGAATATGAATTTTGGTTGTAAAATTTAAAATATTTAATATTTTATCTTTAATTGGAGTATTTTTAATTTAAATATAATATTTTAAACTTGAAAGTTCTAAGTATTACACGCCTATAAATTTAGGGGATGTAGATGTAATTTACTAACTGTTATAATGATGGACATTCTTACGTGCGTACAAACCTCAAGAGGTTTATGTATAATATTTCAAATGTAAGGGGTTTGAGTGATTAAGTGACAAACTTTAAGGGTTTTAAGTGTAATTCTCCCTTTAATTTAACTATTCTAAATAGTGAAATAGGCCGTTTTACTGTGCAACTGCAAGCCACCGCAACAAAATTAATTTGATTTAGAATGGAGAATAAACTATATTTAATTAAGGGAGTTGATCAGATTTAGTAACTTAGTTAAAAATTTTAATTTTAATTTAGAATTAATTATGCTTAATTAAAGAGTTAATTACACTTAATCCCAATTTCGTTGTTCTGGACACTGAGATATATCCGTCCAATTTAACTATCTAGGACAATGAAATGAGTCCTAATTACACTATCTATAATCTGTAATATATATATATATATATAAATAGGTTTCAATAAATCAATCTGACGATTTCAAGTAAATTCATTCAACGATTACTAGTATTTCTCTCAAAATCATTCACATTAATATACGTTTTACTGTGATTTTAAGCACAAGTTATGCTTAATATGTAGAATGAAATAGACCTAATTTTACAACAGTGAACTATTCTTCTACCCCACTGACGAATCTAAAGTATTCATCTATACTTGTTCTCACACAAGGAAGCCCTACCGAAATCACAAACAACAAAGGCGCAATGTGAAGTACTTTAGAAATCAGAAATTGAAAATGTTTCGATACTCACATCCAAGTTTCTGCGTCAGATCACATTGCTAGACTCACATCTATCCAATTTTTTTTTTTTTTTTTAAGTTTAACAGTCAAGGAAGTTTGGACCAGTTTACACGCACTTCGATTAATTATTTCCTCAGTCCGGTTAAAGACAGGTCATCCACACCGGAGTTAGGGTATTCAAGAGGGATAAATTCATCATGACCTGGCCTCAAAGAATTGCCAAAATTAAAACTCAGTACGTTTGAATTTACAACTCGTCTCTATTACCATTTGAGCAACAAAAACGAGGGTATTCATGAGAGATAAATTCATTATGACCTGGCCTCAAAGAGTTACTAAGATTCAAACTTAGGAAGTCTGAGTTTACAACTCGTCTCTATTACCATTTGAGCAACCCCTTGGGACAATTGAGCTACCCCATACGCAAGTGTTGTTATATAAAGAAAAAAAAAAGATAACAAAACTGATGATGTAGGAACTTGAAACGTGATAGAAATGTTTAAGCTAAAGAGTTCAAGTCTTGTGAACAGTGGTGTGTGAGTGAATAGTGGAGAAGAAGACGACTTGAGGTGAGACTACATTCCCTAGGTGTGAAGTGGCTTTCTAGAACATGTCGAGGTGACATTGTGGTTTGTCTTCAAACTTGGATATGTTGTGGTTCCTTCTGTTTGGGATGACCTCTTATCCTTCTAGCCAGCATGTGATCGGAGGAGCTCGTTCCACCATCTAGACCTGAGCTAGAGATGTCACTTCTCCTCATGATGTAGCATGTATACTAAAAGCTTATTTTTTTGTAGTAAAACTCGTTTTATTAATTAATAGAAGTTTGATTTATTTTTTTTCATTTTATTGAGAATCTATGTGGGTAAAATATTTGCATTATATTTGATATATGATATGCTTGTGTCTTATATTTTACATTGTAGATAATTTGGTGTGTAAAGTTCAGGTTATACACAAAAGACCAGATTATCGAATCCTTGTATAATATAAATATAGGTTCACAATCTTAGATAGAATTGGACATACCATCAGTATAATTGTAGTATAATATTCTGGCATAGTCTATTTTGACTATAGGAGACTGTTTGATGTCTTAGATTATTGCACTAGTACACTTTGTGTATTAAACAGACTCGTGATGAAGTAATTATCGTTTACTGATGGAATAAGATAATAAATATCTTATGATTGCTTATGCATTTAATTTTGAGATATTTAATTGTCACATACATATAATAATTGTCACTTTAATTAATCAAAGAGTGAGATTCATATTGAGTCAATAAACTCGGTGAATTGAGAGATGATATTATTTGTACGATGAAAATGAATTATTAAAAAAAATCACATCCTGCTATTTAATGGGTTAATGATGTCTTTTTGAGGAAGCTCATAAGTTTTGTCCATATTAAACTCTGTAGGTAGATTTAATTATCTGACATGATAAATAAGTTGAGTGGTAAAGTTTCAAGTAATGAAATAAGTCCATTAAATATAGTTATTAGTAATTTATTTAATTGATGGATATTTGTAATATTAAATGTAGGGAGATTATTAAACATATAATAATAAGGAGTTTGAAACATAATTTTAAGATAAGGCTTAAGAGATCAATAATAAGTTTTTAGTGAACTAACATATTATTAATGGACTGTAGGATGTTTATTCTAGGTTGAACATAGGAATTCCAGGTCCATTGGAAGCCCGACCCTTATTTGTCTTTAGGGTTTATGTCATAGCCTATAAACGTCTAAGCTTTCTAAATTAGCATCACCTTGATTACTCACGTTTTAAGAGAGGTTGAGAGAAAGAGTAGAAGTTCGGAGGTCCTTATAGCCCACATTGCATCTGAATTTTGGCGTTTGAGGGTATACGATAGAAGATTATGAGGTTCATCGAGTTGCTTTCTGCGTTTGTCTTTAGATTCTATTTTCGTGATGAGATGAGATTAATCTAGAGCGATCTTGAAGGTAAACCATAGTTATGCTTTCTATTTTGTTCCAACAGCTGAGGTGACATTGTGGTTTGTCTTTAATCTTGGATACGTTGTGGTCGTTCTACTTGGGATGACCTCTTATCCTTCTAGTCAGCACGTGACCGAAGGAGCTCGTTCCACCATCTATACCTGAGCTGGAGATGTCACTTCTCCTCATGATGTAGCATGTATGAGCTATGTACTTGTACCTAAGGTCATACTTGAGTGACCTGGATTCCTTTGACTGAGGATGTATATAAACAACTTAGACTTAGACATTTTCACCTGTGGCTAAGTGTACAACACTGAGGTTGGCAGATTCCCTTTTCACAAACTAGCAACTAAAGTATTCTTTTATGTATTTTGGATGCCATTTTTGGGTCACAGGAAATGCCTCATTTTTTAGACTACGCCAATTACATTGTGCCACAAGGAGCGATGTGCAGGCGTAATTAATGCGCACAAAGAGAAAACTGCCAAAATCCTTTCTATTTAAACCCTTCTCAAACTTGATTTTTCTCTATACCAAAACCCTTGAAACCCTCAAACCTTTGTTTCAAAATTTCTCTTGCAATTCCTAGAGTGTTCTTGTTAGATTTGAGAGGTATCGATTCAGAGATTCAAACGAATCAAGAGGTTTCAGGCTTAGGTTCTTCGATTCTTGTCTCATTCGTGTCTAAGTTCTTGATCTTTGCCTATCTTCTCCATCTTCTAGGTATGCTTTTCTTCTTTCCTTTTGCTTTTCTATCTTAACCCTAGACCAAGTCAGCCCCCGGTGGTGGTCTTAGGGTCTTCACTTTTTGGTGTTTCATTTTCAATACTTTAGGGGTTCTTTAGTAGTTCTTCATCTCTTCTTAGATCTTTTGGCCATCACTAGGGTTTTCCTCCTAGCCGTTGGTGCTTAGACTCTCGTGCCATCAAGGATTTCTCTCTAAGTATATCTACTTATTTTTATTTTTATTTTAGGCTAGGTTACTTCATACCCCTGAGCTTAGATATGTCTGGGCCTTCATCCGAAGCTACTAGGTCTTCCATTTCCATTATGTTTGGGGATGGAAATGAGGATCTTGATGTTGAGTTCTCTCCTCACAGAAAAGTGATAAATTTGGATGGGGATGAGAAACCTCTACTTGAGGTGTCTCATGAGGAGAATATGTCTCATTAGGAAGCTCCTCCTCTCCTTCTTAAGAATACGCTTGAGGAGGGAACTTCTCGTCATGGTAAGAGAAAAATGGGCCCTAAGAAAAGGGTTTCCAAATCCTTTCGAGCTTCTCCATCAGGCAAGGTCAGTACCTCGAGCAAGTCTGGAGACTTGCAGGGATCATTCATACCTTTGCCCCAAAGTTGTGCTCCTGAGCATAGGCTCTAGTCTTTGGTTAGATGTTACCAATTCTTTGCAAGCGTTGTAATTTACACTCCTTCAGTCTTAAACCGCTACAACCTCTATCTAACTAATAATTGTCCTTTGATACTTCAACATCTGTCCCTCGAGGATGTCTCCCAATTTTTGGGGGACATTCGTCGGCCTCTTAGTTTTTTGGAGAGAGTAAGACCTGGGACAAGCTCCTTCCATGGCCAACCTACTCCATTTCTTCAATGTCCAGTGCTCCTCAAAAGATGGCTTCTTCTATGTCTCCAAGCGTGTTAATGCCTATGCCTTAGTCATAGGTGCTCATTCTTCTCATAAGACCTAGAAGAAACATTTCTTCTATGTTTCGGGTGACGCTTGGGAGAAGGATTCGAGCGATGTCTCTAACGTCCTTTGTGTTCTTTAGCTTTGAGGGGAGCCCAAAAATTTGAATGAGTGACTGTCTTCCACAAAGCCCAACAATTTGAATGAGTGATTGTCTTCCACCAAGATTTTATTCTTGGCATGATCTTCTTGCTCTAATACTAATAACATTTTTCCTTTTTTGACTTGGCAGAAGATCGACTTGAGCTGACTCCTTCTGAAGAGCTCAAGGTTACAAGGATAGAGAAGTGTAAGACGAGGACTTTTAAGGAGCTCGTGACTTCTAAGAATCTAGCGAAGTACAATCTTGGTCCTCTAGTGTTTGAAAAGCCTCCAGCTTCTTCCAGATCTACCTCTTCTGAGGATGAGGACTTTCCCCTTGCAGTCTACCAAGACCCTATTGTTATGAGCTTAACATTTAGCTTATTTCTTCTTTTGATTTATGTTTCTCCTCGTACCTTACCTTTTTGTCTTTCACAGACCTTGAACTTATGGCGCCCGAACTGAGGGAAGTTCAACAGGCAATGAAGAGGAGGAAGAAGAAATAGGAACATCTGACCAAACCCGTGGACTCCAGTCTCCCTTCAATACTAGATTTAAGGTTCCTCAGCTTGAGGGGGAAGAAATCCTCGATCTCCTTGGGAGAACCCAAGATCCTAAGGTCACTTTAACCATTAAAGAAGATCTTCTTGTTGCTAATCCTTCTCAAGTAGTTTCTAAGGAGCTTAGTGCAGGTCGAGTTGTTGAACTGCTTGTAGTTATCAGACACAATTACTCTAGGATTTCTGAACCTACACACAATAGATTTACAAACAAAATTTTTGATTTTTTGTTTGGTAATAGTTGCTAGTGGCTCAACCTTGGCCCATTTTATGAAGTAATCAATTGCCATCATGACAAACTTGCACTATCCCATTCCAATGGGAGGAGGTCTCATGATATCAATCCTCCACTTTAAAAGGGCCAAGGGCTTAATATTGGTGTGAGCTACTCTGGTGGACAGTGAGGAATGTTTGCATGCAACTAGTAGGTCTTGCACTTCTTGACCATTTCCTTATAATCTTTTATCACAATGGGCCAAAAGTTGCCCTACCTTAATTCTTTATATGCTAGAGTATGAGCTTCAAAGTGATTTTCACAAATGCCCTCATGAATCTCTCTTAGCAAATAATTGGTATTTTCTGTTGCTACACACATTAATAGAGGTGTAGAGAATCCTGTCTTGTAGAGCTTTCCTTCAAATAGTGTTAACCTTGATGACTTGTTTCTCAAATTGGCTACTTCTTTAGGAGCTTGTGGAAGAGCTCCATCTTGTAAATAGCTGATGAAAGGGTCCATTCAGAATGACATGAAGTCTATTGGAATGATTTTTTTCCTTAGTCTGGCCGGAGTCTATACTTTGTTCATTTAGTTGCTCTATATGAATGATTCTATTATGATTTCCTTGGTTTGGGGAGGCTAGCTTGGCCAAGGTATCAGCTTAAGCGTTCTCAGCTCGGAGTACTTGAACAACTTTAGTATGGATGAACTTTCTTAGTAGATCTTGTACCATTTTCAAATATGAGGCCATCTTGTCCTCCCTTGCCTTGTATTCTATTTTGGCTTGTCTTACCACAAGCTGAGAGTCACCGTTGATCAAAAGTTCACTTGTTTTCATGGAGTATGCTAAGCTAAGACAATCTATCAAAGCTTCATACTCGGTCGCATTATTCGAGGCTTCAAAGTTGAACCTGAGAGTGTACACTGGGTTGATGCCTTCTTGAGAGTTAAGATAAGTCCAAATCTACTTCCCTACACGTTGGAGGCTCCATCAAAAGAGACCTTCTAGATTAGGGTTCGGGTATAAAACCGTAAAACCTGGGTAAATTTGAATTTTTATGAAAAGGAGAAAAAAGATAATTAGCCACTACAGTACGGGTTGAAAATTTGATTTTTTTTAGAACTCGGATGATGAAACAGATCTCACCGTTGAATTTGTCTCGTGAAATCTAGTTATCTAGACAATTTTTATTGAATTTTGAGATAGTAAGATTTGTTTGTGTCTTACGAGGCGATAGGGTGTCGTGTGACCTAAATAAATGAAACCGGGAATTAAATTTCAAAAATTAAAATATAATTTAAAATTAATTCAAATCAAAATATTTGGAACTTGAATCAGGACGAAATTTAATTGCTTCTAGACGAAATTGAACCCAAAAAAGGAGGACATGTGGCATAATGTGGGCCAAGCATCCTAGAAGTATAAATAGGGGAGAAAATCAAATTTTATCCCCATTTGTTCAGCTGGGTTTTACGTTGAAGAGGAAGAGAGGAAAAAAGGGACGGTTCTCAACTTCTCTCTACGATTTATGACTCTATGTCCGTCTAACCGACTTGGGCCAAGAACAAAGATTGTTCTACACGACAAAGGCTACAAAACTATACCAAAAAGCATAGATTTTAACGAATTTCAAAATAAGGGATACGGAAAAATAAGGCCTAGGGCATGATTTGGGTTCTTGAAGGCTTTTACAATGTGTTTTACACTTCCAGAGATAGGGTTTCTTTCATAATTAGGTTTATTTCCAACCTAGGGTTGACATATAGAATGAGTAGGGTGTATAGAGATGTAATATCATGTGTAGCACATACCAATGATATATGAAATGTGGGAAATGGGTATTAATAATGGTTAAAATCAATTCTAGCATGAATTGGATATATAGAAATTACTTCTTGTGATTTCTTAAAAAATGTGATGATTTGGGCATATTACGTGATACATGATTTTCTCGCCTTTAAGGTGTTTGATTAAATACATATGTGGATTAAGTGTGTTATTTGCATTGATTATGTTATAACATGCTTGAGATTTAATGTTGGTAGATATTAGTATATGCATATGATATATTGACATTGAGATTGTTGATGGATCTTGAAATGTTCATAATGTGCTCATGACTTATTGAACATGGTTGAGAATTACAATTGTATATTTACATTTACATATGCACGGGGTAGCATTGTATTTGTGGACAATTGACATAAGTGTGGGTGTGTGTGTGCATGTTTTTGGATCAAACACCATTCTTGGTGGTTGAGGTGTGGACCTGGAAAGATTGGACCTAGGTTCGGTTGAGTTGCACGGTTGCATGAAAAACTTGTGTCGGGTATTGTAAGCAGGGCGGTGAGACCCAATTACTGGTTTATAAACTTCCGACGATGAAAGTCCAAAAAAATGTATTGGTGTGCGGAATTGGCGGTGAGACACCAAAATTCGGGTACTTAACAAAGACACATGATTTTTTTAAAAAATATCATTGGATGTATAACATTAATGACGAGGGTTTGAAATGTCCGAATTCGTATTTATAACATTGCATGTGTTATGGAAGCCGATAAAGGCTTGGGTTAAGTTGCATGTGTGAGTCTTATCTTATAACATGGCATGACATAGAAAATCCATTATGAATTGCATATTCTTGTATGGATTATTTGATGCTTGTTGAAAATGCATGTGAACATTTCATATGCATCTAGGTTGAAGAGTAGCTTCTTTAGGAGATACCCTATTGAGTGTGACTCACCCTTTATGGGAACAACATTTTAGGTGCGGGACATACACTGGTGGATGACTCTCATTTGGGCCCTCATTAATGAAGAAAAATTGAAATGTGGCTTTAAATCATGTTTTGTAAAACTCTTGTATTCGTTAGTTTTTGAACATGTAATGTTTTGTTGAGAATTGTAAAAAAAACTCATATGAACTGTATTTTGTTTAAAAATAGATTTTATATGAGTTTGGGTTGATGTGGTATGAGGTTGAAATGAATTTGAATAAAAAAAGGATGGAATCACAAAAAAAACTAGGAAGACCTACTGGTAGAAAGATGAGTTTTTCTACCGGTAGAACTTTTACAGTAGGCTTTTCCTACTGGTAGAACATTTCCAACGAGTTTTTCTACCAGTAGAACACTAATAAACCTACTGATAGAATATTTGCAATAGCCTTTTTCTATCGGTAGAACTTATACATCTTCTACCAGTAATTTTTCTTAAAATCTCAAAATTTAAAAATTCTTTTGCTATGCTTCTAGACCATGAGTCCTTTTATTTCAACGGGGTGAATGGTGTTATATTAAGAGTAAATTAATGTGTATTTACATTGGATGGGTCATGTGATTGAAATGTGCACAGGTTATGCATTTTGCGAGTGCCCTATACAATGGAGACTTTATCCAAATATTGTGATATTTGTGATCCCTGTAAAAGGGATGTTGTGCCATGGTGTCAGATTATGCGGCATTCACAAGCATTTTTATGGGTTGATGGACAATCAACAGTTTGACAAATGACCCCCGATTTTAGGGGCATCATAGCTCCCAAAGGCTCAGCAAAAGCATATTGAATTTTTGAGTTTTTGAAGAAAACCTGCTGGTAGAAGATGTCCATGTTTTATCGATAGGAAAACCTTATGAAATTCTTCTACTGCTAGGTTTATCAGAGTTCTCTTGTTCAAATGATGTAAATGGACAATAATTAAGGATAAATTGTTGTATATTGAACCTCGAATGGGTCATGTGATTAAGATGTACACAGGTCATGCATTTAGGAGTGCGTGATACAAGGTAGACTCTGCCCAAACTTTGTGTGGTTTGTGACCCTAGTAAAGGGGATGTTGTGTCGTGGTCTCGGGTTATGTGGCATTCACAGGAATTTTTGCAGGTTAATGGGTGATCAAGGGGTTGACAAAGGACCCCCGATTTTAGGGGCGTCACAGAAACCCTACTTCTCTGGGATAGATTCTGGCTCAGTTCGACTATGAAATCCTTAGATTGATGGCCCACTTGACCATCCAACCTAAGGATTTAGGTTTGTTTAAGACCTACTCTGTAGGCTGATCAGTTGGAATTTCAATAGAATGAACTTGGAAGTGAAACCTTAACCTCCTCGCCGTTGTCACCAATGCAAGAGTTAACTTCTCCATTCTAGGGTACCTCTCATATGCCCCTCATAGAGCTCGACTACAAAAATACACAGACAGTTGTCTTTTCGCTTCCTCTCTTACGAAGGCTGTATTGACTGAGAAGTCTGACACAACTAGGTGCACAATAAGGACTTCTTCTTCTTTTGGACTGACCAACATAGGAAAAGAGCTCATGTAATTTTTTAGGCCCTGAAAAACCTCCTCGCACTGATCATTCCATTGAAAGGATTATTTGACGACCTTGAAGAATGGTTGGTATTTGTCACTGGATCATGAAATGAAATGGTTAAGAGTTGAAATCTTTCTTGTGAGACGTTGCACTTCTTTGATATTGGTGGGTGATTTCATGTCAATCATTGCTTTTACTTTTTGCAAATTTGTCTTTATTTCTCTTCTATTGGTGATGAATCCCAAGAACTTCCAGGTGAGACCCCAAAGGCACATTTAGTAGGATTGAGCTTCATCCCATACTTCCTAAGGATTTGGAATGATTCCTTGAGGTGCTAGATGTGGAGATTTTCCTTCAAAGAATTTAAAAACA